TGCTGGTCGACCAGCAGTGCCACCCCTCCGTGTACCCGCCCATCACACAACCTGTCATTCCGGTACAAGGAAAACTGCTGAAGGGTGACTGTATCAGCAGGTTTCAGAAATGTTTCCTGTAAGGAGAGACACACGGGATGATAGGAGTCAATCAAGGCCTTAATGTCATCGAGATTAGAACAAAAACCTCGACAGTTCCACTGTATCAAAGTGGCCATTTTTATGTAGGTTTAGGCCATTTTTCTTTACTAGATGGAGGTCGATCGACCTCCATGGAACCTGCCATTGATCGGATAGGCAGATCTCTGTCATCAGAGTGAGAATCCAATGACTGAGGACGTGATCGAATGATCGTCCTGCATTTAGGGGCCAAAGAAGGACCTGAGCGAATACCAGAGGCTGGTGTCCGAGGAGGTTGACCCAGGCAGTCACTGGAAGGAATAATGGGGACAGAGATTGGAGTAGACATAGACCTATCAACTCTATTATCCATGGAGGGCAGAAAACCCCTCACATTGCGTGAAAAAGACTCAGATGGAGGCACAGAAAGGTCAATCTGCACCCCCACTGTAGCAGTAGAGTGTAATGTAGTGGCATATGTCCGAGATGTAGTAGGGAACAATAGCTTCCGAGCCTCAGGATAAGAGATGTTATTAATAGTCTTCAAACGCTGTACCTTTTTTTTTCTCCACCCACTTAGGGCAAGACCTAAAGTAGGAGGGGTGGGAACCACTACAATTAACACAGTGAGGGTCCAGTTTCCACCCGTAGGCGTCGTGGTCCTTGCCACCACAATGAGCACACGTCACAGAGCCATGACAAGATGTTTTTGAGTGACCGAACCACTGGCACTGAAAACATCGGATAGGGTTGGGAATATAGGGTCATACTATACAATTCAAATAACCCGACTTAACATGGCAGGTGGACATGGTGATGAAAACATCAAAATCAGAACTGAGGTCGGCACCATAATACCATCTTGACGGGTGGAGATCCTTCAAACTGCTGAAACTCCTTGGCTGGAGAAACCAGCAAGGATCTCCGACTCGGGGATAGACTTAAAGTCCCTCTCAACAATAACTCCTCGTGAGGAATTCAAGGAAGTGTGGGGAGTAACCTTAATGGGTATATCGCCAATGGCCTTTGAATTCAAGAGGAGTTCACTGTGCTTAGCTGTGGATGTTTCTACTAAGATGTCTCCAGAACAGAGCTTCTTAACTGACTTTGGAGAGCCAGCAAGCCCCTCTAAGCCCTTCTGAATAAAAAAGGGAGATATTTGCCCTAAAGATTTATCGGACAATGAATGCAGGATCAAAAAGCGAGGTACAGGTGTACATTGTGATAGAGACTGCTGTTCAGAGTCTTCTAGGCGTGGTCATTTACCAATTAGCAGATTTTTAACATTTTTTTTATTTGGAATGGGGGGATCCATAATTAAGGAGAGAGATTCAGTGCCCACTGACCCCACCCGCCATGGAGTCCTATGAGGGGACGTACTACAATGTCAAACAAGACACTGCAGCAACGCCAGGGTTTCATGAGCACTATACCCAAACACCAGTATCAGACACGATGTCCACAACACCCGCTGAGAATGCCCAACACTGGTACTCAGTTGACCCTAGCACCAGTGACCCTAGGGGGGCCACCCATCTACAGGAATTCAGGGCCAAGGTGGTGTGTTGCAGTGCCCCAGACACCACTCAACCACCAGGATGCTCTCCTCCCCTTCACAGGTCGCCACGCACTGCAAACACGTGGGTGGATGTTTAGATCCCAGAGAAAGTAACTGAAAATACAGAACCTTCCCTGGGAGGTCCCCTCACCACGTACAGGAATCCACGTCGAGGGGATCAGTAGTGACTAATGCTAGAGCTGAAGAATGATTTGATGTTATAAATCAGTAATGAATCATGCTAAAGCTGAAGAATGATGTGATGTTATAGATCAGGAATAAATCATGCTAGAGTTGAAGAATGATAAGATGTTATAGATCAGGAATAAATCATGTCAGAGCTGAAGAATGATGTGATGTCATATAATCATATACTCAGGTCAAAATATATGTTCAGATTGGGGGTTTAGATTTTCCAAGATGAAGATATCCCTTGTACTTAATGACACTGGAAAACAAAGGAATATGGATCAAGTTCAAACACGAAGACAACCCAGAAAGGTCCTTGCAACAAGTCAGACACTAGGATTAACAAGTAGAGTGTGGCATTTTGTAACAGGTGAAAATTCACTAACATAAAAGTCATGTGATCCAGACAACAGTATGCAACATAATCAAGAAAGATGTCCTCTGGAAAAGTGACACGAGTCATGTGCCATAAGTTGCTTTCACAACATATCTTTCTAGCTATCACATACCTCAAGCAAATAGAACTTGAAACAGGTACTCATGCTGTTACCTAAAGGAAGACATACCAGTTAAATCATCAGAAGCAGTACCTATAGATTTCTGTGCAATTGTACTGTTAAAAGGGCACAAAAAACTGTCATCCTCATATTATATATGGATTATGGAAAGTATGCAGGGAGCAGTAGTGTGCTTTGGATGTGTTAGCCTTATAAGTGAACCTTTTGCAGTGGAAACTATGTGGCAGGGCTACTGTCAGGATGCACAGTCAGGAGATAAAGAATAATCAAACATGGGGACATGAACTATTATGACACAATGAGGCTACAAAATTATTTTAATATAACATACTCAAACTCTGTAGATAATATCTCTAAAGAAGGCAGCAACTCATACAGCTATGAAAAATGAAGAAAGTTTCATGTAGTATAACACAACATCCTTATCCAAGTATGTCCTAAAATTACGAAAAACAAGAGAATCAAGGATGTCTCATATTACAGGTGTTCAAGAATCAACACCAGGTTTTGTATCAAAGTTAGAGCAAAAAAAACCTGAAAACAAAACATCATATAAAAATACATGATGTTTCAACTGGAAGGAAAAATATATTTCAAACAGACACTAATAAAGCAAAATCAAACATCAGAAAGGATGACAGAAAAATGTTCACTTGCATGAAGACATTTGTTCTGAAAGGTTTAAAAAATATTAACAGCCCTCAAGTCTGAGAAGAAAAAAAAAGGGGGGTAGAAACTTTCATTAAAGATTTGTTTTACAAATTACATTTCAAAGCGAATAAATACAATTTCAATGTGGTAAACTTTCTGAAGTAAAATCTTATTCACCTGTTTAGAATACTAACTCTTGATATAGCTTAAAGCTAGGTTTTATGAAAAATGAAAATGATAAATCAATGAAACACATCACTCCTAGTTGACACACATATGATGTTCTTCTAATAAATTCACCATACATTTAAAACAACTGGGAACATGAAACAAACATTACACCATTAAAAAACGAAAAAGACAGACTGGTTCTTCAACATATTTGTGATCAGCAGTAAAAAGAAACAAACCTAATGTATGGAAGAGAAAGCTTACACAGATAAAACATAGACTAAGATATACCACCCAATAGAAACTAAACCTTTAAAAGTAGGAGATAAACACCAAATTCAAAACTTTAGAAGCCTTACTGCAGCCTGGTAGACTCTAATGTAATCACTAATAAACAGAACTCTAAAAAAAAAATGAGTGAAAAAAAAGGAAAAAGAATGAATGAAGATTATCTAATCAGCAATCTGGATGTTCATCAACAAGCTCCAGTGGAAAGACTAATATGACACGAAATTCCAATGAAATCTGAAGCATAGCAGTCAATGAAACAAGAATTGAAAAAAGAATTATCACCAAAAACATCATGAAATCACAGGCCAAACATAAAAATTCAAAATCACTAAATGAAAATGGCTACTGCATAGACAAAAAGAAAAGATATATAAAAGAAATTGCATAAAAGATGCAACACCTTATCACTATCAAATAAGAAATAATGATCTGGGAAAATGGGTGTAAATATGCTGTAATATTTACAATAAAAAGTATAAATAAATATTATTATTAAATCATAAATACATCAGAAAGATAATGATGGTAAGGAAATAGTATTATAATGAACTTCTGATGAACAAGATTCTGGATATAATGTTATAAAATGGCTAACAAAAACTAATACGATGTAGGCTCAGTAGACAAAATGCTGCAAAAAGCAAGAAAGAGCTACAGACAAGTTACTGTATTTGAATTAATTATACATCAAGAAACAGAGAAACTAATAATATCCTGAAAAATCCTTTTATAATTCAAATAAAATGGCACATTTACATTAAGCAAAGATATATTCAAAATATGTTAAGTTAGAAGAAAAACAGCACCATCATTTTTTAAAACGAAAACCAGACTATTAACAAATAAAAATTACATCCAAACTCTGAATTCCACACTCTGTGAATGTAATAATACTTCTGAACACAGTATTCCTACAACGGCAGTAGTTTGAAATATATAATGAGTTGCCACACAAATAATGAGCACTAAATATATTAAACGTGTACATTTACCTTTAGCTAGAATTATATATGTATGCAATAAAAGCTGTGGTACACACAGAAATAGAAAAGAAACAATTTGTTTTGATAAGGGAAAAAAAACTGTACAGAGGTTGCTTTCATAAACATATTTAACTCTTGTTATATTGTTGTTGTCTTTTTCTTCACAAACTTACAAAAGCTTTTTTCTCCTTCTTAGTTTCACGGGCATTTTCTGTTGATGATTTTGGTGCTGGCTGAGCTGATGATGCAGCATATGCTCTGAAATAAAAACAAATAACATACAGCTGCAGTTCTAATTATTAAAGTGCAGGAGTACTGCCCTTAAAACATGTACATGATTACATGTACAGTGTAAATTTTATTGAACTGCATACAAAGAATTAGTATTAAATTGCAGATATTATTTATGAAAAATAATTACTGGTGTAAACATTCACATCCAATCTTCAATAAGTATATACATATATATATATGTATGTATTATCCATAACACTGTATCAATACCAAACTGCTGCAGAAACACTTACATAGGGTATACATCATGCACTTTATCAAATTAAAAAATCTGTAAACCATTATTATAAGTGTCATCAGACATGAATTCACTTTAAAGAAATTCAAAAGACCAGGCTTTAACTTGTTTTGTATATTTTTTCAATCTATGTTTTTACCTTCTGCACTGAGAGAAAAAAAGAAGAAAATTCTCTGTATTTTCTATCAAATCAGTTTTTGTGTTTGTAATTCTTACATGCACATGTATTTTTAATATATTTGAGCCATTTTTTTTTCAACTAATTGATGGTTCAGAATACGAGTCAAAAGTAGAAAATATTAATTGAAAGTATTTTGTGAAACATAAAACTCACTGTGGAGATTAGTAAGTATTATAGATCAATTCTTCTATGTAAATGCTTATTGATATTGAAGTTTAAAGCACTAGTGAACCAAATAAGTTACCTATATAAATCAGAATTTTATTTCTTAAACAAAATTTCATAATTTAGTGGGTAACTAATTAGAAGAAACTGGCACATAGTTCCAGTTCCTAATTTCATTGTCATATTGTTTGCATTATTTAAAATGTTCCCATTAATGATATGCTTAATTTTAATTTAACCCAAAATTCATGTTTGCAGCATTATATTAAATATGCTAGTTAAGCAAACTGTATTTATACATCAAGATGAACTGCTCAACACATTTCAGAGCAGAAACATGAAATTAATAATAAATATAAAAAAACTAATAATTATTTTATTTCTGCAAGTTTTTTTTTAAATGTTTATAAACAGTGACAAAGCCAGTTACAAAAATGACACACACGTGGACATTTTTAGCCTGGAAAACCAGACCATTTACATTTTCCTTATTCTAAAATAAGATTGTTCTGTTAATTTTATGAATTAATAAATTATATTTCTCAGGTTAACTTCCTTAAGGGTATAATATGTATGTTTGAGGCATTGTCTTTACAAAATAAAAATTCCCAAAACTAGTTGATTTGTTGGATTTTACATTATTTTTTCTTGTAACATTTGAAATGTATATTCATACTTGAATATATGCAATATTAAACTGGCAGTTTAAGTTTTTCATGTTAAAATTAATGTTTATCATTGCAAAGTATGATGATATAGTATTGAAAATCCACATACAGACTTTGAACCAAAAATTATTCTTTAATGATATCTATATGATACTACTAAATTCAAACTTTGGATTAAAGGAATACTGTACATATGCACAGCATCCTGCTGTATTGCATGCCATACATGCTGATAAGATATACATTTTATTGAAGTATTACTATGAAGAAAGTGATACAACTACAAGGACACACATTGTAAGAATCTGTTGATAAAACAAGCATCTATTAAGGATACTATCATTTTATTTGACAGTGCTATTAACAAAAGATGTGTTACCTCGTACCATTTAATGTTTTGCACATGCCTTTTCGTTGAATGTAAAGTTCTATCAACCTGACCTTTATACACAATCCTAAATCATGCACATGTAAAGTGTATGCATACATAGTTCAAAGTAAACACAACAAACTGAGCCTGTAATCTGATACTGAAGCTTACGTACTTCCACTTAACTTACTGAGTTTAAAAGCACAAAATGTAAATACTGACTATTCAAAATGCAATATACAGTAACTCAACACTTCCAAGCACAATTTTCAAATTTGCTGTATTGCAAAATTGCTTTACTTATTTTATAAACAAATTATATAAGCTTAGTATCAAGTTGTATTTGGAACAAAAATACTACTTTGACTAGGGTAGTCAACCAAATAAAATATAAAAACTTTGATCAAAAAGCATGAACATAAATAAAAATAATGTTAACTTTCATAAATTAAGTCTCTGTGCCAGTTCAAGACACAGATATTCACAATTCTTGTCAAACTCAAATGTTTGGAACACTAAAGCCAAGTTTACAGTACATCTATTATACAACTCAAGTATCAATGATATATTTTACATGCAGCACCATGCCCATGTATGTATTTAGTGCTGATAACTTCATTTATCATAGACAACATATACATATTAGAACAAAGCAAATAAAATTAATCAACTTTTCACCTTTACTACAATAAAACGTTAACAATGAATAGAAGATGACTTAAAAAACTAATAAAACATTACTATGAAAGAATGTAGTTAGCCCCATTGAAGTCTCCAACAAAATAAACACACCATCAGACAAGTCATTCAACAACTACTCAGACCAACAAATATTTTTGTAAACAAGTTTTCATCAAGGCTATCAAAACATAAATTTATTATACCTAACATTCAAATTTACATGACCAAATGGTGACCATCACTTGCTCGATACAAAAATAAGTTGTCATGTAAGAGCTTCTTAAGTAAGCACATACTCTATCATTAGGCAAAGTTTTTAACAAAATATTTTCTATAACATGACAAATATTTTCCAGTACAAAAATAATCTGTTACATGGCACACTTTCAGTACAAAAATATTCATCACTAATGGCTTGTATAGCTACAAGAGGTATTTAAACATGGACTGAAGCCTTGAAGGGTAAATAGTGGCATGCAGATATACACACAATTAACAAAGAAAAGAAAGCAATTACAGAATGAGTCATTTTTCTAGAACAATTACTACCGCATAATATTTATCCATCTTGAAATATCATAAATGTAATGAACTGCAGAAAGTGTTTGGATTTTTAAGGAAGGATAACCTTAAACTTCATCTTATTATGTATGAGCTATTTCTCCATTTTCTTAGGCCTAATATCATACAATAGAAAATGTTCTTATATCCAACAAAGATTAAAGCAGTGGAAAACCAGAGAACAGTTACATGTATATTATATGTGAGAAATATTTATATGCATGTTTGTGCTATCAGGACTTAATAAAGTTAGTTCTGATGCAACTCATTTTTGAAATCCCAATTCAGGATCACTATCAAAGACATTCAGCAAAAAGAAAGATGTTAGTGTTAGCACAAGTATGATGAGGAGCATTATAACAGACAAAACAGAGCAAGGAAACTGACAATAAAAAACTTGAGTGTTTCAAAGCATAATTTGTGGTGCTATAGCTAGTATTAAGCCTATCATTAACAGATAAAATGAAAAGTATGACAATCATCTTGATGACTATCACACAGATTAAGATGTATTATTTTAATAAGATTAACTTCTGCTTTAAGATACCTAAATAGAATACCCATAAAACTTCAAATTGAACAAGAGTGAAATTTTGAGTCATGACTGCATAGAATATAAGAAATAAAGAAAACCAGAATAATAAACTATCCTTTTCCTAGGAGATTTACAGGGATCTCTGATTTATCAAAATCCTCAACTATATCATCCATTAATAATTCTTAATACAGAAAGAATGTTACTAATTGAAAAGTCTGAATTTGGCCTTCTAAGATGTACTATTCTTGACTCCGAGTAATAAGCATTCTATGGAGAATACTGTAACTTATCTGAACATGTAGATATTTATCCTTTGTTGGTTAGTAGAAAGATTCAGAGATTAAAATTAGATACAGTACCAGAGCCAAACAAGGGATTAAATGGAGGTCAAAGATAAGATATGCGAATCTTTTTTCTTTCATTTTTGGCAAGTCAATAGATAAATGAGCAAATACTCGAGGATTGGAGAGTTGCTATTGTTACTCCTATTTTTAAAGTGACCGATAAGAGATGCCTTGAAAATTAGTCTTACTTTTGTAGAGAGAAAAACTCTAGAGAATCTGATGAATAAGCTTTACAAAATCAGGTAGTAAAAACATGATATAAAATAAAGCCAACATGGATTCACTAAAGAAAAGTATTGTCTAACTAGAATGTTAACTTTTTTGAGAATATTACTTATTATTTAGATGACAGAAAAGGTAAGGACTTGGTGCACTTAGATTATCAAAAAGTTGTTGATAATGTGCCACATAGATCAGTAGGGAAACACTGACATATTAGTATTAACTTATATGTTGAAAATATCTGCCAATATTGATTCATAATTCTTCATTCTATTTCATCACAAGAAATAACACTATAGCACAAAATAATTGATTGTTTACCAATGTACTAATAAACACACTTGCTAAACTGACTAATATTTGACTTTATTATCAGTTTCTCACCATCACATTACTGATCTTACTTCACTTACTGACTGATGAACTACTGCTGTCTTTGAATATGCAATAAGCCTACCTCAGAAACACCTAGATTCCTACTACTAGTAAACATAGTACACAACACAGTGAAAATGTGTAGAAATCCCTTTCTACATACTGTTTACTGCTCAGAAATTTCTAGAACATTCCACATAGGTTATTACACAGTACTTTCTAAAAAATGATAAGAATTTTTTTTTTTTTTGATTACTCTAGAATTCTACAATAAGAATAGCAAGTAATTTCTATAATAACCTACAACACACTATGAACACTGAATACACAGAACCTGTTATACCACATAAGAATGTATTATCCTATATTGACATTTTATACTTTATGAAGCAATACAGGTGAAATCATCAGTGGCTGTGCTAGGCCTGAAGTTGTTCCACAAAAATGAGTTCCTGTAGACTACAGACCTATATTTGTTACTCAGAAGCTGAAAGGAAAATTTCTAGATTAATCATTCACTTTTTACTTTTTAGGCTACTGTTTAGCTAAGAAAATTATACTAGGTGTATTTATAGACATACTCACACAGAACATGTCTACACTTTTGGTATCCTTATACAAGTTAATAAAAATTATAAAAAAGGATACTAGCATGTTAAAAATGGACCAAAGGAAGATTATAAAAATGATTCTGTATATGGTTTGTTTGTATATTTGTTATTAAGCACAAAGCCACACAATGTGCTATCTGTGCTGTGCTCACCATGAGTACTGAAACCTGATTTTTAAATGTTATAAGCCATCAGCTTTACTACTGAGCCACCACAGTCCATGAATGGGTTATTTTACAATGATTTTTTTTAAGAATTCTTAAGTAATTTTCTTATTTGAAGAAATGATTTTATTGAAGTTTACTACAACCTGATCTTGGGGAATCAACAGGATATATGCTTCCGATTTATTTCTGCTGTATTCTGAAGACAATAGGATGAGAGGACACTAGTATAAAATGTGTAAAGAACAAGCTGGGCTCCAGTTAAGAAAAATTTATTTTTGTAACAGGGTGATTAACTTATGTAATGAGTTATCATCAGCATGGCAGAAGCCAGCAATTTACAATATATAATCATGCTAACCTTTCCTTCCACAAATATATCATGACAAGAAATAGTACAACTTTCACAATGCACATGGTCAGGATGTCATACTGTTAAAGTAAATAGTTACAACTGCATATCCTGGACCAGTCAAACGTTTTTCACTATGATATGTATAAATTATATATGTAAAAATTAACAGTTTAATGTTCAATAATACTAGAATAATGCATCTCATGGGACATCAATTATGAATTGGAAATTATGAAAATGGAAATTGTAAATAATATATTTTGGTTATAAACTAGACCTAAATCATACGTAAAAAGTACAAGGTATTAATTAATCAATTATTAATACTGTAAAACTGAAAACGTATAATTGCGTCCTAAAATCAAACGAAACTAATAACATGCTAATATATTTTTGATGTACATAGTGTAATCTTTAAAGTTTAACCCAATTAAACAACAAAAACATTCAAAACGAAGAAATAAGCAAGATAATGGAAATTGGAAATAAATTTTCAAATAAAAAAAGAAACAATCATAACAATTATCATTAACACATAATAATAATGTCGTCATATATACTGTATTAACAAAAAACAGTAAAACTAAACACATCTACCTTAATTATTTTATCTTTAGGACGCTATAAATATAATACGCTTAAAATTAAGTACTACTCTTGAAGTTGATTTTATTTTTAGATCGCTATACGTTTTCACCTGTTAGTGTTACTAAGTGTCAGTGCTACTGTAAAAGTGTAAGTTGTAACTTGTATAAGTGTTAATACAACTTATAAGTATAAATTATACTGTGTAAAGTGTTATACTTATAATATAGTCTATAGTTTGGGTTACTCACCTTAGACTTAGCCCATGGCCTGATTTTTGCATCATAACCCAACATGAATGGTTTTTTGTTAAGAAAGTGGAAAACCGTAACATTTTGTAAATTAAGACTAATTGCTTTTGTCAACAAACGTACTGTATTTCTTGCCAAACTACCTGGATTTCACTTATCTTGCCACGAAAGCTCAAATAAACTTCATACAATAGCCCAGCTACAACAGTTTAAGTTATAACCATACGGTAACAGTACAAATAACTGTAAGATATGTATTATAAGTACAACCTAAGTATATGTCCCCAAATGCACTTTGGACCATAATTCAGCTGATATTTACGTATACTCTCGCACCCGTGGTCTATGCTGAAGTAAACATATAAAACATAGCAGAAATCTAAATTATATATGTAAATTGTAATCACTTAGATTGAAAGAAAGCAAAATCAAGTAATCATTAGAAATTATTTAAAAAAAACAATTGTCATGTACATGCATGGAATAACACACTGCGAAAATTAAAAAAATATGTTTTATAGTTTAAGACTGTTCGGTGTACATGAATCTTATTTCTTATATCAAAATTAATCATAATACTATATGCAGTAATGATATTTTTTTATTATTTTGTAAATAGCTCCATGTTTCATATATTTAAAAGCATATGTTTATTATTTGATTATTCTTTCTAACTGGTCTCCATTGGCTCAGCTGTAAGTATGAGGGTTTATATCGCTAAAGAGTGGTGTTACGACAGCAGAAGTCACTGACTCTGGTAACACGTGGTGAGTTTCTAGAAGGATTGAGAAACTTCACGAATATCCCAGTATTTGCTAGACGCCCTCTTTTTTAGTATATAAGCCCGGCAAATAAAGCGGAGATAGAATTGTAGATAGATAGAGAGGTTGAAGATAGAGATAATCGAGTCAAGCGAGCAGTAGGCACAGTGCTTGGTAACACGTGATGAGTTTCCAGAAGGATCGGGGAACGTCACGAATAATCCAGTATTTGCTAGAAGCTATCTATTCCTGTATATAAGCGCGCCAGATAAAGCGAGACAATTAATCAAAATTGTATAGCAGATAGAGACAGATAACTGAGTCATGTGAACGGTAGTGACCGAAGTAAAGTGCGTGAATCGTTGTGAATTATAGCGTGTGTTTAAGTTAAAGTGACTGTGGAAATTAAGTGTATTACAAATTTTGTAACGAGAAAGTATAAACTACTTTTAATTAAGAAAGGACTTGTATCGCTGAAGTTTTTCGGAAAACAATTTTACGGGAAATTATCAAACGAGCAGATAGGTAACAATATATTATATTTTTAAAATCTAACACAAGGAAATAAGTATCCAATAGAACATGCAAAGTTAGACTCCTTGATGCTGATTAAAAAGAAAATTTTGACGACTTTGTTATCTCTAACACACACAAAGTCTTTGAAATTAATGAGTTAATTACAGTATTTCTTGAAAAAGATGTGAAAGAATGGGCTAATGATAGCACACATAATTTTGTTAAACGCTCTATTCAGCGTATGAAAGTTGTAAATTATACTGCTGAATGAGAAGTAGCGTTAACAGAAGAGTTTAACAAGGTTCTGAGAAATGATAAGAAAGAAAACAATACCTTCTGCTGGTAGTCAAGAAATTCAGATAAAAGCCCTGATCGAAAGAAAGCTACGCTAGTGAAGTGCTCAATCTAAACATTTCTTAAGATACACCTACCTACAGTTTGTAAGAATTTTATAAATAAAGTTTCTTCATTTGTGTTTCTGTAACCCCGACACTCTGAATTGTCGAAGCTGTTAAAATGGCATAGGAGCAAAAATTTAATCTAGTAGTAACCCCTCAAGTTCATTTTATTTCGCCGAAATTTTTTTCTTGAGTGTTTTTCATGAAAATGGACAAAATATTGATGTGCCCCTAATAAAAATTGATTTTTTGAAAATAAATAATGTGAATCAACCTAATATATACACCTGGAAAAAAGTTAAGCACCCTCGTGTTTTTTTCAAGTGATTCAGATTCTACGTTCTTGTGACTGATTATAAATTACCATTC